GTTAGAACGGTTCACACGCCTTTCGGATGGCTGTGCCAGTCCAGGATCTCAATGTGTCCGTGAGGTATTCGGGTCGGTAGCATTCCTCAGAGTTTGTCCTGCCCAGAAGAGTATGCAAGTAGCACTCACACAGGAGACACTATTACAAAAGTAGAAGTCAACATCCGTTCAGTTCAGTTTGTACAACCATTAACCATGCGCCCTCCTGGAGCGGTTGGGGAGTGTGCAAGTTGCAATGATTTTATTTGATGGGGGCCACAGTCGCACACTTCGCGATGGTGTCAGCAGACATTTATGGCATTTCAAAGGGATAGCGTTTCTCAGCCGGAAGCCCCACCACGTTCTATATCTCTGCCGCTGATCGTTCGCGACAGATTATTCAATGAGACAGCCGCACCTATTCGCGTTTAACCACGGAAGTGGTCGTTCTATCCACGATCTAGGGACGCGTTTGGTAACACAGTCGTGCTGTTCGTAGACGGTCCGTTGTCCACGGGCCGAGGGACATGTGTTACTATTACTTTACTGCGACTAGCTGCTTGGTAAGGATGAGCCGGCTCCAGATATGATCATGATCATGATCACGAAGTTACATGGGGTTTGGTGCGAGAGCCGTCCCTAGCGTCACGGGGCGTTTTTTATTGTTAGGGCGCACCTCTAACCAAGAGTAAACTGCAAGGCAGCAGGAAGTAACCCCTCGCCTCGGAAGTAAGGAGGTAAATTACTTTAGTTTTAAAAAGACAGTCACATCGACGTTAGTCACGACACCGTAATTGGGCGTATGCTGCTTTTCAACAGGAGTCAGGTGACCAGCCTGAAACCCACCACACCCTGTTAGTGCGCCCTCTATTTGTTCGCGATTGCTTATTTACTACGGTATGCCACAACTTATTCACAGCTAACCTTCTTCGGTGATGGTATCCCCCTATCCACCACCCGGGGACGCATCTGGTAGTATTTAGCTCTGCTTAATCCCAGGGTGTTATCCATGTCACCAAATTGGTTGCCACGGCGTCCGATGTTTGCCGGGGCAGGTAGTGGGTGGAATAAAGCCAAGTGTTATCAATCTAAGACCGGGCACGGGTGTATGAAAACCCTAACCAGTAGAGTCTATCACATAGGTCCCACTGGGCTCCTTGGATGGGGACCTCGGGATGATCGTAACTGGTGATCAGAGACACTGAGTGATGTAGCTGTTGACAAAATGTCGAAAATCGGTTTTCGTAGCGCGGGTGAACTGAATTCCATTTCACCTGTTAACCAAGCTTGGCAATTTGTTTGCAAACGTTTCATCGCCTACCGGGGTGACATCATCAGTGCTTGTGAAGTGGCTATCGTAAACAATGGCCTTCGTGTGTCCCCTCAATTTCTTTGCAACTGAAATTTTCCGTTCTTTTTGACTCTACTGTTAACTTTCCTGTCTTTCTTCTACTGTTCATCTAAATGGCCAGCCAGAGGATAGAAACCGAAACCGGAGCACGAGAGTGNGCATGGTGAATGGTTGTACAGACTGAACTGAACTGAAACTGCCTTCGCCACTTGGCACTGTCACTTCCCACTATCGCGGAACTGTTGGGCAGCGTCCTCGGCAGAGAACTCTACTAAGTAAAACATCCGTAAATAAGTGATGAAATTATATAAAATCCGACCACCATACATGCGATTCTCTAAAAGGTATCGTCAGCTGTTTGCAGCGAATTTTGTCCACGAGATATGATTTCCCAAGTGTGTTCATGAAACGGGTTTTTGAAAGTAATCCGATAGCACAAAAGATGTTTTCTTTAGTTGAAGCCAACATCCCAGTTTTCAGTCCAACGAGTTCCTAATTTTCCGGGTGGTCAAGACAGT